GAAGAGCTGAGGGACAGCGCCCAGGCCTAGAGTTCAGGCCCCCTGACTGGACCAAAAACAAAAAAAAAAAAAACGAAGTTTACAACTTTGGTGGGGGTGGAGGGTTAGCGGGGAGGATTGGGTGGGGGGGTGGGGGGAGGATGGGAAGGGGAAACAAAGGAGGAGGCTACAATGCTTGATAAGAAATGTACTCATTATCTTGCCCATGTAATTGTAACCCCTCCGTACAGTATTTTCACAATAAAAAAAAAATTTTGTGTTAGGAAATCTGTGGTTATTCTCATGGGCTTGCTTATATATGTGTTTTACAGAATTTTTTGTCAGTCCTGGGGCTTGAACTCAGGACCTGGGCACTGTCTCAGTTCTTTTGCTCAGGCTAGCACTCTACTACTTGAGCCACAGCACCACCTCTGGCTTTTTCTGTGTATGTGGTCCTGAGGAATGGAACCCAGGGCTTCATGAATGCTAGGCGAGCACTCTACCACTGAGCCACATTCCCAGCCTATTGGCAGTATTTTTTAAATGTGTATTTTGTGTTTTATTCATAATGTGTCATGGGTGTTACTTTTTTGCTCTTGCCTGATTGGTTGTCTGAAGCCCTCTTGGGTGGCTGGATCTCCTGCAATGCTCTGAAATCTTATTTTATCTCTTCTCCTCCTTTGCCCACCATAAGTTTGGTCTACTTCCTTTTGCATGGCAGGGATTTAGTCCAGTGGCTTCACCTCAAGGCCTGGGTGCTGTCCCTTTTCATTCCAGGCTAGAGCTCTACCACTGGAGCCACGGCTCCACTTCTGAATTTGTGGTGTTTACTAGGAGATAAGAGTCTTGTAAACTTACCTCCCTAGGCCAGCTTCAAACCAGAATCCTCAAATCTCTGCCTTCTGAGTAGCCGGGTGATGGGCCTCAGCCAGCACTGTGTAGCTGATACCATGGATTTCAATATTGGTTTCTCTCCATCATTCTCCTCCTTTTCCCTATTCCATCTCTCGCCCCAATTGTCACACAGCTCTGTGTGTGTGTGTGTGTGTGTGAGAGAGAGAGAGAGACAGAGAGAGAGAGAGACAGAGAGAGAGAGAGACAGAGAGCGTGTGGGGGGGACTGGTTTATAGATCACCCACTTTGTTACAGAAATCCAAAGCGATTACAACGGTCTGGAAAGCCTTTGGGTTGTTCGGACTAAGAGTAGAGAGGTAGAGCCCAGAGGTGAGAGTTCATCTTGCAGTGCCAGGACAGTGCCCAGGCCAGCCCTTCACAGTGTCCCCCAGTGCCCTTCACAACTAAGGGCTGTGGAGCACGATGAGGAGTGCAGGGCGGCGCTGGTGCAGCCGGGTCCATGCCCTTCAGAGCCCTGAAGGTTGGTCATGGCTGCGTCTGGGTAAGGGGTTGGGGTGGGGGGAGAGCCAAGCGGAACTCACTAGGCCTCCTCCAAGTCCTCCTCCTCTCCCTCTCTTCCTCCCACCTTCCCTCTCTTCCTCCTGCTTCTCTTCCTCTCCCTCTCTTCCTCCTGCTTCTCTTCCTCTCCCTCTCTTCCTCCCGCCTTCCACCTGCCTCTCTTCCTCTCTCTCCCTCCTGCCACTTATCCTTGGTGGCACTGAAAGTTTACTTAAGGACACAGGAAATGTATTCAAACCCTCCAGAAAAACAGATCTTTCTTTGAGCCTACCACTCACCCCTCCCTGCTCAGGGGCCGTGGGTGGTTTTCCCACTCTGATTGGTCCCTCCCTCCTTCCCTCTTTCCCTTCTTCCCTTCCTTTTCCTCCCTCCTTCTTTCCTCCCTCCCTCCTTTCTTTCCTTGCCTCCTTCCTTTCCTTCCTCCTTCCCTCCTTCCCAATCCCACCACCCTCTCACTCTGCTGCCTTTGTCATCCCTGCTCTACTTCCCAGACAAGAAGAGGCTCCTCTTCTTCCTCCTCCTCCCTCTCTCTCCCCCACCCTATGTGGGGACTCTCGTGGGTTCTACTTCTTTTCCTTCACATGTTGGTTGCCCTCTGCAGATGCCCTGCCCCAGGCTCTGCCTGCCTGCACTTTTGCTCTTCCATCTAGGTAGTTGTGGGGTCTGCTGCATGTGGAAAGATCCCTAGTTCAAAATAGTGATGAACTGCAGCTGTGGAGGGGATGGCTGAGCATTAAATCCAGTGCCCTGTGCACCCTACAACTCACAGTTCACTCCCAGGACTCAGTCTTCGTCTTCCTCCTTGCGTACCTCAGGAATGCACGCACATGCCCCGTGTCGTAAGTGCACGAGCAGTGAAAACTAGCGCGTGCAGGAGCACAAAGCCATGGTCAGAAAGTGGCTGGGAGAGGCGGGCTGTGCTGGCTGTGCGGAGGGCTTTCCCTGTGGGGTCTTTAGGACCCTAGTAACAGAGGAGTTGGCAAACTGGCGGCTGCACCGTGCTCGCGCTGCCTCTTCAAGTTGTTGTCTGTGAACTTGAAGAGGTTAGAAAAAGCTGCAGCATGTGTGATGCACCTCCATGCCCGAGTTTTGGGGGACTATGCCCGCTCACCCTTTGCATGGAGCCCAGGCCCGTTGTAATTCGTCATCTCATGCCTGCTGCCAGCTCTGTCCTGCGGCAGAAGGGGGGGGGGCAGACCCCTGCAGCTCCCAAGCGGGCCTCACACGGCCTCCCACCCTGCTCGCCCTGTACCCTGGGCCCCTCCTGTCCCGTGGGCAGCACAAGGCGCTTCCTTCATGGGAGACCCACCGGCGCCCTCCAGCCCCAACCCCGGCCTTGCTCTCCCCCCCCCCCCCCAATCAGGCTCTCTCCTCCCCACAGGCCCTGGGGCTCGGGGTGCCATTAACCATCCAGGGGACCCCACAGCAGGGCTACAGCTGTGTAGGGCTCTCAGGCTACCTCATCCTTCCTGGACTGGCCCAGACTCCCCTCCCCCCCTCCCTCGTCTCCCTTCCCTCCTCCCCCATCCCCTCCTCTGTCTCTCAGTGTGCACACTCATTGCCCCAACAGCAGCAAACTGGAAGAAATTACTCTCCAAGCTGGGCAAGGGGAGGGGAGGGGCCCGGTGTCCCGCCCCCCTCCCCCCAGCTCTGCGCGTGTGCCCTGGGTGCAGACAGAAGGCCCCATCCTGCCCCCCTCCCAACCCCCCAGTCAGTCCAGAAAAGTCTCAGCTCCAGTCCTGGAAGCCCTGGAGGCAAAGGTGTGAGGGTAAGGAGGGCGGGGAAGGGTGCGGCCTTCCCGCTAGCAGAGCAGAGGGCAGAGTCTGACGCCAGACCCAGTCCACCCCACCCCGGCCCAGCCATGGCTGCCCAAGGGGACAGGGGCTGACGCTTCAGTTTCCGGGTGCCGGTCAAGAAGGGAACTATGCCAGAGCCTCCCAGGGGTGTGGCTGGAGCCCCGGGTCTGAGGGAAGTGGTTGGGGCCTGGGCCCGAGTCTGAAGGAGGAGGCTGACCCCTGAGTCTGAGGCCTGGACCCTTGGGTCTGAGGGAGGAGGCTGGGTCTGGACCCATAGGTCGGTGGGATAAACCCATAGGATTTGGGGCCTGGGCGCTGAGAGCGCTGAGTCCCCAATCCCTGACGCTTCCTTTGCTGGGTGGGGCGGGCGCGGGCGGGGTCCCCCAGTCCGGGTTCCCCCAGCCCCTGTCTCTCACCCCCTGACCCCAGCCCCTTCCCGCCTCTGGCCTCTCCTCGGTCTGAGCACGGTCGGGCAGGTCGGGGCGGTTGGTGGTTATTTCCCCAGTGGAAGGAAGCGCTGGGACCCGAGGGCCGGGGTGACCCGCCGCGTCCTCTGCGCCCTGCGACGGGTGCCGAGACGGGGCTCGGCCGTCCGGGGCCCCCAAGAGCGGCCTGCGCACGCGACCGGGCGCCCCCAGCCTGTCCGAGCCGGTGAGGGCCGGACCGTGGTCACCAAGGCCCGGGCCAGGGCTTCTAGACCCTTCCTCCCCACCCCACTCCCGCGCCGTGGACCTGGCATCGAGGTTCGGTCAGCAGCCACGCTCGGAGTTTCAAAATAAAATGGACAGAAAACGTCCTCGTGCAACCACGGTCCAGAGAGCCGTGGCTCGTGACTTCCAGCTTCCATGGAGGGAGGAGGGGAGGGAGAAGGGGAGGAAGGGAAGGAGGGGGGGGCTGCAGGCCAGGTCACCACTGCCCCGCCGTGAATCCCGCATCAGGGCAGAGGAGCTTGGTCCGCGGAGGTGACAGACAGCAGGGGCGGCCAGCTGGAGACCTGGGTCTGGCTGGCTGGGCTGCCCGGGCCGGCCTCCAGGCGACCCCCGGGGCCGCGGGGACCCTCAGGCCTCAGGCTATCCGCAGCGTGGGGGGCGGGGCCTCGCTGACTGCCTGGTCCTCCTCCTCCCACCCCGCAGATGCCGGTGCTGAAGCAGCCGGGCCCCGCATAGCCCAGGAAGCGGGGCGCGCTGATCATCTCGGCGCCTTGGGCGACTTCTGCCACACGCTGCACGTGGGGCGCGGCGGCAACGCCCTCGGGGACACCTCGTTCCTGAGCCGCCACGGGGGTGCGCCGCCCCCCGCGCCCTGCCTTCCCCTCAGCCGCGCGCATGCCGACCCGCTGCTGTCCTTCCACCTGGCCCTGGCCCCTCCATGCTGGACGCGGTGCTGGGGGTCATGGACGCCGAGCGTGCGCAGGCCCCGGGCCAAGCTGCGGGGGAACGAGCTGGGGAGCTCCGCAGAGCTTCAGGGACGTGCTTCAGGGGTGTGGTCCGGCGGGGAGGTTTTGAACCTGAGACGTGCGAAGGGAAGGAGGTGGCGGGTGCATCCCCAGCCTGGGAACGAAGTCCAGGTGATTCTGAAGGCTGCGCGAGGGCATGCGCGCGCCGGGGCGGGGCCAGGGGCATGGAGGGGCGGGCGCATTCAAATGAAAGGAACTGGGCGGGGCCAGGCAGGGCAACCTTTGAGCTGGGGCAGGTCGGAGCCGGGCACGTGCAAAGCCTGGGAGAACCGCATCACGTGTTCATACACTGGGGGGAGGGGGGAACCGGGGCGGGGCCAGGTACGTTAAGTTTCCGACAACTGGAGTGCGGGCCCCAGGGGCTGGGCCACACCCGGGCCCTGGGTGCTGTGTCCAGCGCAGCCCCCCCCCAGGGTGCTGCTGGACCAAGCAGGGCGGCAGTCCAGTCTCGTCCCGGGGCTGCCCTTAGCACCCATGGCAGCCAAGCAACCGGAGCTGCCGTCAGAGGTTCCCTCCTCGGAGCCCGCGGCCCCGCCGGCCAGCCGCTTGGGCGCCCGCTGCCGCCAGCCCCACCCTGGGGCCGGCGGCGGGGCGCAGCCCGAGGCGGGGGCCAAAAAGCCGCCGCTACGCACAGCCGCGGCCGTCATCCAGCGCATCCGCTGGGACCCGCGCCTGGACCCCGCTGACTTCTCGGTGGGCTACGCGGACCGCTTCCTGGGGGTGTGCGAGGAGCCCTTCAGCGCCTTCTGCTGGGACGAGCCGCTGGCGGCGCTCGGGCCTGGCGTCCTGGCCGTGCCGCAGCACCGAGTTCGCTACTTCCGCTTCCGCGGCCGCCTGGTGTGGGACCGCGCCTCGCGCACCGACCTGATCTTCGGCTCGGGCTCGGTCGGTGGCCGGGGACCCACCATCCTGGACGTGCTGGATGCCGAAGAGGACGCGCCCGCCCATGAGAACACGCTGGGCGCCGATGAGGACGCGCCCACCCATGAGAGCACGCTAGGCGCCGACGAGGATGGGCCCGCCCATACGAGCGCGCTGGGTGCCAGCGAGGATGCGCTGCTGGACCCCGAGGACACACACAGGGCAGAGGCGGCCATGGAGCATCCAGAAGACCAAGCTGACCAGACCGGGCTCGGCGAGTTGGGCTTGGAGGCGCTTGGGGAACGGGAAGCCGCCAACCCCGGAGGGCAGGCGGTGTCTTTGGATGTTCAGTGGGGTGCGGCGGCAGCAAGCCGGCCCCGACGCCAGCCCCGGCCCACCCACTTCGTGGCCCTGCTGGTGACCGAGCCCGGACTTCGGGCAGCCGTGTGCGAGGCCCAGGCGCGGCTGGTAAGGGCCGCCCCAGCCTGCGCCGCCTTCCTGGTGCCCTCGCACGCCCTGCACCTGACGCTGGCCCTCCTGCGGTTGGCGGGGCCTGGGGAGGAGGCGGCCACTGTCCTGGCCCTGCGGAGGGCCCTGGAGACTCCAGGGCTCGGCGCACCCCGCTGGCTGCGGTTCAGGGAGCTAGTCCTCCTGAACCCCCACGTATTCTGCGCGCCCCCACACCCCGCACTAGCGGACACAGCCCGGGCCCTGAGCCACCGGCTGGAGGCTGAGGGGCTGCGGGTGGTGTGGCCCCTCGAGGGGCTTCAGCCGCACCTCACTGTGGCCAAGGTGCCACGCGGGGTCCCCACCCGCCTCCCAGAGCCTGAGGCCGACCTGGATGTGGAGCTGGGGAGCCAACCCCTAGGGGGCCTCTGGCTGTGCCGCGTGGGGCGGGCGGGGGGCGCCTTCCAGCCTCTGGCCGAGGTTCCCCTGGGCTCATGGCCCAGAGCAGAGCGCAGATGCACCTGAGCACAAAGGACAGTGCTTTTTTTTTTTTCTCTCTCTCTCTAATTTTGGTTTGTCTCAAGCTTCCAGAATGGTGCTCAGTGCTCCAAGGAAAGAATGAAGGAAGGGAAGGGAGAGGTGGGCGGGAGGGGAGGCAGAGAAGGGAAGCAGCCCGACAGTCCAGCTGTGTGCGAACTCATAGCGCGTCCTCCCCTTACATGGCAGGAGGGGGGGGCGGAAAAGAAAAAGGGGGAAGAAGAAAATATAACTTAAATAAACACACATACAAAGAAAAGAGAAGGAAACATGACGTGAGCTGGTGATCCATGGAGGCAGGGAGGGAGGGTGGGAGGAGGGTAACCATTTTACCTGTGCTGAGCCAGGGAAAGCAGGGAGAGGGAGGAGGGGAGGGGAAAAAAAATCAGAAGAAACATTGGGGTAGAGGGGAGAGGAACATGGAGACAACTTAATACAACTTGAGACGAGGCGGCCCGGCCGGCAAGGTCCCGCGATGGGTGGCCTCGGAGTCCTCAGGGCTGGGTGGTGCGCTGGTCTGGTGGGGATGGTGCTGGTGCTGGTGCTGTTGGCATTTCTGGGGTGGGAGACCAAGGATGGGACATAGTCTCTAAGCCGCTCCCCTCACCCCAAACACTGAGGCCCCGAGGCTGGGCAACAAGAGTCTCTGAAGAGGCGGACAAGGCAGCGGGCATGGCTGGCTGGTGCCCACTGCGGCGGGTGCGGGCGGACGGCCTGTCTTCTTTCCACCGGCCCCCCAGCATGGGACGGGCCGGGGCGCAGGTCGGGTGCCGGAGTACGAGCTCGAGAGAGAGAGAGAAAAAACACTGAGACAGCATTAGTGTGAGGTGAGAGGTGGGCACAGAGCCTGCAGCCCCCACCCCTCCTCCCACCCTCCCCCCACCATCCATCCCTCTGAGGCAAAAAATAAAAACGTAGAAAAATCTCTGTATGTACAGACTCTCCACTGGGAAATGGAGACGGGACTGCGGCTCTTCCCGGAGCTACTCCCGGAAATTAATTTACAACCCAAGTCCATGGCTCAAAACAAAATCCGCAAAGGCGGTGCTGGAGGCCTTGGCCCTGCCCCGCCAGGCCGGCTGGGCGCTCAGAAGGCTGGCAGCTGCGCCAGGCTGAGGCGGCAGTCCACGCTGGAGTTGTCCGGGCCCGTGTAGGCCAGGCCTAGGGGCTCTAGGAACGCCCGGCAGGCGGCCTCGCCCTCAAAGGCCAGCTCGGCCTGCAGGTAGGAGACTGGAAGCGCAGGGCGGAAGCTATGGAGACAAGAGGAGAACGTGATGAGGCAGGTGGCAGGCAGGGAGGGCCCATGAGCAGGGAGCTGGTACCCCCTGTTCAGGAACCCCCAGAGTTTGCTCAGCATGGTCCCTGTAGCCCTTCCCCATGCCCCCCTCAAGGGCTTGGGGGGGGGCCTGAAGGGGGGGTGATGGCCCCAGTGCCCCGTGGCGCCCCCCCCCTCGCCCTCACTTACCTGTCCAGGAAGGAGGGGATGGGAGGGAATAGGCTCAGCTGGCACCTCCGTGGCTGGGGGGCAGGCGCCAGAGGGAGGGCCCAGAGTGCTGGCGTGTAAGTGGGGAGGCCCTATGACACCCTCATTGCACACTCGGCCCACGTGCCCAGAAGTGGTTGTGTACACCTCCCATTAGCTTAGGACCCTTTCTTCCAGGCAATTCCACTGGACCCCAGCCGTGAAGGCAGCAGTGGTCATCGTGGGTTCAGCCTGCAAACCCTGCTCAGCCCTGCCGCCCTGCACACAACACTGGCTCACCTTCCAGGCTCCTCCTGGCAGCGGCAGACCAGGGGTCTACCCCAAAGCCAAGGCCAGCTTCACAGGCAAGGCACAAGCCTGCTGCCTGTCGGGGGGCCTACCAGGTGCAGAGGACAGTGTCCTGCTGCCACCTCTCCCGTGCCTGCCACTGCACCCGCAAGTTTTTTGGCCTCACACCTCTCCCCTGTCTGGAGCAGCCTCTTCCTCAAGCCTGCAGAGCCAGAGCAAGCTCAAGGATGAGCAGCATAGCTCCCACCACCTTCGTGAGCCCTCGTGCCCCCTCAAACTCCAACCTCCTGAACTAGCTTTCCCAACCTGTTGAGACCAAAGGGGCAGACGACCGCTGACGCGGTAGCTAAGCAGCATACCCACCTCTGCCCACCTGAGTGTGCCCTTGGTGTGGCCGCACAGTGTGACAACTCCTGACTCGCAACTGTGGGTCTGAGTGGGAACCAAGGAATCCTTAGCCCCACAGAACCACACACAGCCTAGGGGATGAATGTCCCCGTGTGGCTGGCCTGTCCCTGCGTGTTTCTGGCCCCCATCCTTCTTGGTCTGTCTAGAGTGGAGCAGCGGGTGCTCCATCGGGTAGACAAGAGGCCTCAGAGGGAGGCCGAGAGCCTGGCAAGATGTGACCATAGACCAAGTCCAGGCTGATGGGAACAGGAAGAAGGCAGAGGGCAGGAAGGAAATGCCACAATCAAGTCAGAATAGTGGGAGAAAGAAGAAACAGAAGGAAAACCCGGAGGAGAGACGGGGGGTATGAGGAGTGCGGACGCTGCCGGCCAGGCGCGCGTGGAAGGGAGGTGAGGTAGAGCCACGGCAGAGGGTGGCGAACGCGCACGTGCGGTGCCACATACGTTTTGATCATTGCCTTGAGGGCAGCCTTGCGCTCCCGGTCTGCAAACTTGTCCACAAGATAACCAGACATGCAGGGCGCGTGGCAGTAGAGCCGGAAGAAGCGGTGGTAGTTGCCCAGGGCCCAGGCTGCCCGCAGTGCCAAAGCATGGGCCACACAAGGGTCTGCCTTGAGCTCCCTTGTGAGGTACGCCAGCTCTGTGGTGATATCTGCACAAGAGACGGAGGAAAGTCAGATGGCAGGCAGTGTGCCCAGCCACAGCACCCCGTGCCCAGGGAAGCCACTCACCTCCCGAGTTCTTAGTGAACATGTAGTAGAGGATTCGGTATGCCGTGAACTCGCCCACGTTGCCTGGCAGGTTCTCCGCATACAGTGACTTGAGCTGGGTCTGGCACTGGTTGAACTCTTCGTGGTCCCCCTGAGGGCAGGGATGGAAGGAGAGAAGCCATGGGGCTCAGGCAGGGGCGGGCGGCAGCAGGGGAAGGCAGGGAAAGGGCAGGTCTGGCACAACAAGCGTACCTTCTCCAAGGCAATGCGGGCATGGGTCTCGTACACCTCCACAGTGAACTCAGTGCGGACGCCTTGCACCTGCGCAGTGGGGAGACAGCAGTGTGACACAGAGCCCAGCAGGGTGGCATGGGCGGGGTGGGGCTGGCTAGGGCAGGGCCTCACCGTCAGGTCCTGCCGGATGGACTTCATCTGCTCACAGGCGAACGCGTAGTCCTGCTTCTCCTTCCAGTGCGACTTGACCATGCACAGTGACTTTTTCAAAACCTGGCAGGAAACACGTGGAGGATGAGAGGCCCCACGGCAGGCACACGCAGCATGCGTGCCAGCTGTGCCAGCCCTCTGTGCCCACCGTGGCCACTCTTCAAATGAAGAATCTCAGTGGACATGGATTAGTGCCAACGTGCCAACCCCCAACCCTGGTTCAGGACACACGCGAAAGAGCCTCAGGGAGGCCCACTGAGCCTCCTGGCAAAGCAGACTCTCAAAGGTGGATGCCAACCCATCCCACCTGTGCCAGCTCCAGGGAACTCGCACCAGCCCGTGGCAAGCAGACTCATCCTCCTGGGGACTTACAGACACCGGGCGCACAGTGGACGGGTCAGGCGCGCAGGTGAGACGCAAGTAGTGCTTGGTAATGTCCAGGCAGGTGCCCACAATCTGCAGGTCCTGCCAGTCAGGGTCAGCCCCTCCGCTCTCCAGGCTGCTCATCTGCAACACCAGGGGCTCTAGGCGCAGGCGGCGGTGCCCGTGCTGGAAGCGGGCTGCCCGCTTCTGCTTCTTCAGCTCGCGCTCAGGGTCCTCACTCTCTAGGGCAGCCATTTTCTTGCGGCTGCGCTTGGTGGGAGCCAGATCATGCCTGGGAGGGAGGTGGGGGAGGCCATGTCTCCAGCCACACCTGGCCTAGTTACCCGGCAGGCAGGCTGGCCAGCCGGCCTCTGTGGACCCCCACCCTCTCAGGCCTGTGGTACAGCCCCCCTCCACCCCCCTCCCGCAGCCTCACCTCTTCCCGCGCTGCGCCCTGCCTCGGCCCCGGTCCATGTGGGCCCCTCGGCCACCCCGGCCCTTCTGAGGTGGGTTCCTGCGGGCCACAGGGTGACACTCGTTCCCCGAGTAGGAGCTGTCAGAGTCCGAGTGGGAGTCACTGCACACGGACACGGGAATCAGGCCTCTGGCAGCTCTTCAATGCCCCCCCCCAACCAGCTACCCAATCTGCTCGCTTGCATACCTTCTTCGGAAGTGGCGAGTGGGGGACCGGGAGGAGGAGCGGGAGCGGGAGTCTGTGCTGGAGGAAGAGCTGTTATCCTTCATGAAGACGTTGCGGTTGCCGAACTTGGCGAAGCTGCTACCCCGGGCTCGGCCAGCACCCCCAGCCCCCGGCGTCCCTCGCTGGGACTGGGCACCCCCGCCCCTGGTCACCGAGCCTGCCCCCCTGGGAGGGTGAAGGCTGCTAGGGGCCTCCCACCGCTTCTTCTTGGGGCTCTCAGCCACAGGCTCCCTGGTCAGCCTGAGGACATAGCAGGGGAGGGCGTTACTACCAGCCACCCGCCCCGAGGACCATAGACCCCATCACCACCCAGGACCATGAGGCCCCCGAGAGGAGGCACTTACCCCAGCCACTTGGCTGCTGCAGTGCAGGAAAGGGAGCAAGCCCAGGGCTCTGTCCGGGGACACTCTCAGCACCAAGCCACCCGTGCCAACCCTAGCCTGAAGCCTGTCCGCGGGATCCCACCGCCACCACTTGTGGTCTGAGCCCTGCTGCACAGGGATCTCCAGCCCTGGTCCTCAGGCCGGATCCAGCTTTCCAGCTGGCTCACTTCTCTTGGGAGCTAAGGGGCCCAGGTCCCCCTCAGCCTAGCCCCCTTCAGCATCCCCCCGACTGACCCAGGCAGGGGCTCGCGGCTCCAGTCGATGGTGTAGGCCGAGCCATCCTGGAGCCGAGCCTGCAGCACCTCCTTGAGCAGCTTCTCGGTCCGGTCCTTGTCCTCCTCTGACTCACAGGCCGTGAAGCAGCGCTCCACGTATTCCTTCATGTCCTGCGGCCAGTCATCGGGCTTCCCAGACAAGCTTCCCCGGGCTGAGGGCCCACTGGGGAGGCA